TGAGGCCCCTCTTCTGTGGCAGAGCTTGATCATGATCCTCACCATGCTTCTGATGTTGAGACTCTGCACTGAAGTCCGCGCGAGCAGCGAGCTGAACCTCCGGCACCGCTCCTTCGCAGGTGGGTGAGGAGCGGGAGTGCTTCGCACGTGGAGCCCTACAAGGCCAGTGGCACTGCTGGGGTCCGTCTGATGGGGTGGTAGCCGCATCCACCTAGTGTTACCTGGCAGCTTTAATTTGATTTTCAGGAGGTTAAATTACTTTAATTACATATTTTATAATGCAAAACAGTTGAGATCATATAGTCTCTGTATTGAAATTTGGGTTATTGACCAATGTTAATATATTATTCTTTGCTAATGATTACTGTTACATACAAAATTAAATGAGGTAGGAAATTTGTTCCTTTTTTTTTTTTAATTGCGATTTGGGTGAAAGTTTACAGAGGAAATTGGTTTTCCATTCAACAATCCATACACTTTTTGTTTGGTGACATTGATTGTAATTCCCACCATGTCACAGCCTCTTCCCACTGCCTCCCTGTGTTCACCATTTCCCTTCATCCTTCTTTCCCGTCCCTTCCTGCCCTCTGAGCTTTATCCCTGGGCAAATGCTGCCCTTTGGATCTCAGGTGGTTGATTGTGCTGAGGGCTGCCAACCTCCTCGTAAACTGGTGCTTTTGTTCACCTTATAGGCCTGTGTTCTGGTTCCCTAGTGCCTCTCTGACAAGAATATACCACAGATGGGATGGCTTTAACAAACAGGAGTTTATGCTCTTACAATTTGGAGGTTTTAAGTCCAAGTTCAAAGTGCCAGGCTCTAGGGAGTGGGTGAAAGCCCCTCAACCTTGGGCCTTAGCTCTGCCTTCTGCTCCCAGCCCAATGAAGCTAGAGGCTTTTCTTCACGCAAACAGCTGCTGGCTGCTGAAACTGACAAGCACAAGGTTGACAAGTACAAAGGCAACAGTTTCGACGTTACAAACTACAGGGCAGGCCATTAATTCAAGTCCATTGGAAGTCCCCAGTTTGGCAGGGCGTGGCAGGCTGCTGAACAATGACACGGCTCCATGCAGAGTTCAAGCGTGCCACGAGCTAGAGACCATCCTCAGAGCTGCTGCTCATGAACGGGAAGCAGCCGCATCCCCAAAGCAGCTACTCAGCTGCTCCGATACATTCCACCATGGAGTTGATCACCAGTCTCCCCATGGGGATCACTACACTCAGCTGCCCAGCCACTCGGCCAGGCCTAGTCAACCACCACAGCCTGGGTGTCATTTGGATAAAAGTTGAGCCACAGTTAGGGGCAAGTATGTTTCTTTTCTGGACCTGTTTTCGGCTTGATCAGGTCAGGGAAAGAGACTCTGTATGGCTTATGCATAAAATGCATCTTCTGAATTTTGCTCCTACATCCACAAGGCTGAGCAAACTGGAGTCATTCTCACATTCTTTGTCAAGTTTTAGGAGTCAAGGTTATGACACTAACTACAGTATGTCTCTGCTGTTGAGCAGCCAGGACCAGGGACGGCTCCGCCTCCACCACTCCTTGTCTGGTCAAAAATCCTTCCATTCTAACAGGCCACGTTTGACTGTCAAGCCAGTGGGCTGCTTTTTCTTCTTCTTCTTCTTTTTTTTTTTTTTTAATTTTTATTGTGATTTGGGTGAAAGTTTACAGAACAAATTCATTTTCCATAAAGCAGTTCACACACATTTTGTCTCATGACATTGACTGCAATTTCCCACAATGCAACAGCTCCCCTCCCACTTCTTCCCCAGTTACCTCTTCCTTGTGTCCTTCCCTCCACGCACTCCTGCCTCCCTGAGCTGCCTCCCTGTGCATACACAGTCCTTCTATTCTCCCATGATTGATCTCTCCAAAGAGTGTATCTACCTGATGTAAATGTTCAGCTCATATGCCTGTCTTTTGTTTGGCTGGAAGCCACAGGAGTGGGTTCGATTCTAGACCTGAAGGACAGCTAGGGGCCATAGTCGCAGTAGTTCTACCAGGCTCTATCAAACCCACAAACCTGGTTCCTTTTTTTTTTGTAAACGATTTTGAGTTTTGTTCCACATTGTTCTCTCTATCTAGGATCTCCTTCATAAATCCCCCTCCGAGTGGTTGACCATGGTAGCCAGGCACCATCTAGTTCTTCTGGTCTCATAGTTGTATAAGCTGAGGATCGCATGGTGTACCAGTCGCTTAGACCAATTGTTTCCATGCATCTTTGCTTTTCTTCATTCTTCTTTGTTCTGGACGAGGAGAGACCCATCATTGCATCTAGATAGCTGCTTGCATCCAGAGGGCTTCTTGTGTGCAGGACTTCAGTGCCTTACTTTGTTTCCCTTCTGGTAACTTAGTCCAGGACAGCTCCCACGCTGACCTATCTGAGATTTGGGGAGTGTGTGTTTTCATCTCAACTGTTGGGGAGAGAAGACTTTTCCCCCAGAGTTTATCTTGCTGCGGGGCCCCTGGGGGTTTGAGATCTTACTGGGGAGTTGGTGCCCCTGAATTTTTATTCCTGCTCATGATTTTCTTGCATCTGGGAGGGCCTGCCCCCTTTCTTTTTCTGGAGTGAGATGAGTATGCGCTAGGTCAGTCTTGGTGGAAAATAGGTCAGCATCTAGCCCAGGTTCATATCCTGAACCAGTTCAAGATTTGTTTTGTACCATTTAATGCTATGAACGTGAGCACTGATGTGTTTTCTGGCGTGTTTTTGTTCTCTTTCCCCTGTCACATGTTTCTTTTCTCCTCTGGGGATCTCTTGTTGTCCCTCCCTTTGTGATTTGGGTTTGAAATGACACTGGAGATGGTGCTCTTGTACCATGAATCTTGCCTAGGGAGCAGGGTTTTCAAACTCACCAGGATGTTGCCAGGTAAGGGTGCATGCTCTTACGCTCCGGCTTCAATGAGGCAGGCTTCCGTTTGCAGGCTTCAGCTCCTCCTTTCAGGGACTTCTGTGTTCTCTGCAGCCTCCCCTTTGCGTAAACCTTCAGCCTTTAGTCTGGATGTGGTCTCCTACCTGACTACACAGGGGAGGAGTTTATCTTCTAGGACACTAATCGCCCATGGGAAGGAGCAAGAGGCTGAGAGGGTGATTTATGCACATGATAGCAGGTAACTTGCCCGCAGGCAGAGACAGAGACCAGGTTTGGTGACCTTCTTTGAAACAGGAAGGAGGTTGAGGTTAGATGCCACATGTGGCAAGCCTGTGAACCTCTAGGGACGCCCAGCTCTGAACTGAAACTTACACAGCTTCGTAGAAATGCAGGGATACCTTGAGGACCCCAGATCCACACAGTCCCTCTGTCCAGTTTTGGCAACTGGTCCCTCAGCTGGCCTCGGTGAGAGGGACAGTGGTGGGTGCTTTGTGCACAGAAACACCTTCTTCCTGGTGGCTG